TTGCTGTTATTGAATTTGCACGATCTATTCTTGGTTTGCAGGATGCTAATAGTACAGAATTTGATCCTAATACCAGGAATCCCTGTGTGATATTCATGCCTGAGGTTATACAATTGTGCTATTCGGTTGAAATTTAAACTTTGGATTACTTCCTTTTCTTGTCAGTATGGATCCTTACGATGTAACATGCTTACAGGGCTCTAAAACCCACATGGGAGGAACCATGCGTCTTGGATCTAGGAAGACATATTTTCAGGCATTGGACTGTGTATCTGCGAAACTGTATGTGTCAACAGTAGAAGTAACATTCTTCTTAGATATAACCTGTTAGATGAAAGGCTATATGCTGGGAGGGCGCATGCTTCTGCATGATTTTGCTGTGGAGTGTTAAGAGTACATTCCAAGAAATGTCTATAAATGTCCATGAGCATGTGAGAGAGGTTGGGGTAGTGAGGGGGAGTCAATTCGGTGGTTGCTCTGATAATTGGCTAAAGTATGTGCTGTATCCTTTGTAGTTATGGGAATCAAAGATACATCGAAGAGAGGCATCGTCATAGATATGAGGTGGGTCACTAGGAAATATCTACTTTCCCTCCTTCAAAAGCTTTTTGGCAAAGAGTGACTTTGATTCTCCTGCAGGTAAATCCTGACATGGTTGCACAGCTTGAAAGTGCTGGCCTTTCTTTCCCTGGCAAGGATGAAACCGGTCGGCGGATGGAGGTAATTGCTGTTGCAGAATAAATCAGCCGTGTTCAAATTTCTTTACCATTGCTGACTCAACAATTATTTGGTGACAGATTGTTGAACTTCCCACCCCCACCCATCCATATTTTGTTGGAGTTCAATTTCATCCTGAATTCAAATCAAGGCCTGGAAAGCCTTCACCTTTATTTTTGGGTATTTCTCTTCCTATAATAAAATGAGCACTTGATTTTCTTTCATTGCCGTTTTTGTTGCGTGAATCTTTTGTTGAATTGAAGTGAAACATACTATCCTAATCCCTATCTTAGAAATTTCTTTGTTCCTCTCGATATAGTGTGTTATAGACTATCTTATATACCTGCAAAAAAAGAGTTTCATAATGAAACTAGTTACCCGGGCCTTTCTTATCATAATTGCAAAGGGAGCTGAGTACCTTACCTTCTCTGAAAATTAGGGTTTTCTAGTTGGCGAAGATTGTCGATAACAATTAGGGGTGAGATTACCTGAATATTCAAAATAAGAAAGGCTCTTGTTGGCTCAAATTCTGAAGAGTAGAGAAGTGGAAGAGAACACAAATTTATGTTCCGGGTTTGTGCTTGTGCATCACTGAAGTTGATGAAATGTGCAAATAATACTCTGTTTTGTCAAATATAGGGTTTGTGGCAGCATCGTGTAGAGAGTTGGATGTAGTTCTACAACGCTGCGGTGGCCAGGAAAAGGTCTCACCTACCTATCACATCAACGGTCACTTGACAAGTAAAGTCTTCCAGAATGGCAAGGCTAGTAATGGCTTGTTGAATGGCGTTTACAATATTTGTAACGGCGTGTCACCCACGGCATGATCTTTTCCTTCTGGTGTGTTTTGGTGAACTAGATTGACAATTTTCGACTAGATGGTAGAGGGGTCTGTACAGATTTTGGAGCACGAGCAGGCATTAACGGCTTCCTGAAGATTCCCAACAGAGAACAGAGCCTGACCCGGTCTTTTTAACGGGGGGGACTTGTTCATCATTATTGTATGTCTGTATTGAGGTGATTTGTCGAGAGTAGTCTTTTGAGTAATACCCTTGGCGCTCATACTTAACTATGTAGTTGCTTTCTCGAGCAACATGATCGTGTCGTGGATTTGTCAAGTTTGATCTAAATTGTTCACATATTTGATATGTTGTACTAGTATGACAGTTTGAGGAAGAAACAAGTACTCGGTGCGAGATTTACAGAAGAACCAGTTATACGATGTAAGACTGCATAAATGCCATGAGAAAGTAAGCTGCTGTAATTTCAGAATAAATTGGTCCAGAAACGAATTTAATGCATCTGGGTAGAAGGCTAATGCCGCTCAACCATTACTTCTCTTTGATTAGCCATATTCCAGTTGCCTAGGGGTGAGCGCGGTTCCAGGTAGAACCGGAACCGGAGAACTGGATCCGGTGGGTCCGGTTCGGTTCCAGGTTCCATGGACAGAGGGTCCGGTTCTCGGTTCCCCATTTTTAGGACCTGGCTGTTCCGGTTCCGGTTCCCGGTTCCTATAGGAACCGGAACTTGGAACTGGAACCGGATCGGAACCGGGAACCGGAACCGGAACCAAGAACCGGGATCAAGAACCGGATCCCTAAAAATTAAAACATAAACTACACATTTGGTATTTAGAAACCCTAATTCACCTTGTCCCTTCATCTTGTCCCTCTTGCTTCCACTTCTGCCTCGCTCCCGCTTTCGCTTCTGCCTTGCTCCTCGCTCGGTCGCTCCCGTTTCCACTTCCACCTCACTCCCGCTTCTTGCTTTCGCCTTGCTCCTCGCTCCCGCTTCCGCGGTTCTCTCCCGCTTCCACCTCGCTCCGCCTTAGGTCTCGTGATCTCCCCACGTGGATTCGCTGCGATTATTCGGGCTCGCCGCCGTCTTCCTCCTCTGAAGCTCCGTCGCTCTGGTACGTAACGTCTTCGAACAACCCCTGCCATTCACGCCTTCTCTCTTTGAATTCCCACCGTTGCTTCTGTACATCTTTTGCATCGATCGATTGAATTAAGTCACGACGATCGTGCCTGAGTTGCGTGAAATCGTGCTCTTGCGTGCACATTCATCTGGATTCATCGCTTAGTGAATGTGAGGAGAGGGAAAATGCAGTGGATCTGTCCCCGATTGAATGTGAGGAGAGGGAACGGGGGGGGGGGGGGGGGAGAGTTAACCGATTGGTTAATTGTTGATTGCGATCGTATCTTAAGGGCCTTCGAGATTTGCTCTTTTTGTTTCTGCTGCCAAAGGGGAAACAACCATGAGTGAGCTCATGGTTGGCCTCACTCTCAGTGAGGGTGCTGCTGCCAAAGGAGCTGGTACTTTCTCAGACTTTTCTTAATAGCCCCTGATTTTTTTAATGACTTTCTGCTCGTAAGTGGTGCGGGATTCATAGTTAAGAAGGTTGGTGTTTCTCTGTATGTAGTAGTGTCTGGGTTTGCTTCATTCGTAGGCAACTTATGGATTTACAAGATTTTGGTCTTTCTTGTTTATTAAGCTGCGTTATTTTGTGTCCCCGGTTATAATTCTGCTCTCGCTTTTCCAGATATTGATTATTGTGCACGTAACTAAGATGGGCTCGCGTCTTATTTCTTGGAGATTTTCTTTTGGTTGATCTACTGTTCTATTCCTAACATCCTCGTGCCATTGGTTGTTTTGCCTGTTTCGTTTGAGCTCACGGTAGAATGACAAGGTTTTTTTTTTTTTTTTTTGGGTGTTTTTTTGAGAATATTCGAAGCTGAAAAATTGATGTTTGAGGTTCTCATTTAATCTTGTTCTACAATGTTCAGTCTGCTTAGATGGTACATTGCCCGGTTATCATCTTCACAATGGCTCTGGATCTGGTGCAAACAGTTGGGTGGTCCATTTAGAGGTTTGTTGAATGGACTTTATGTTATATGATTTAAAAGAGCATACTTAAGCTAGTTAATTTTGCAAACTTATGTTATTTCTTCTCTACTGCATGGTTTTCTTGCTCAGTTCTTCATGGCACGCCAATTCTTGATTCTTTTTCTGTCTGCATTTTCTATAAGCCATTTGATGTTGTTTTACATTGTTGTAGGGTGGGGGATGGTGCAATACAGTGAGGAATTGTGTTTACAGGAAAACTACTCATCGTGGTTCATCAAAGTTTATGGACAAGGAAGTAGCTTTCACAGGAATATTGAGTAATAAAGCTGAAGAAAACCCTGGTATTTAAAATCTATTAACGATTCAATCTGTCTCGAAACGATTCTTTGCCATAGTTTATTCAAATTGGAACTGTCATACGAGCGATTGTGCTTTGTTGGCAGATTTTTTCAATTGGAACAGAGTAAGGATACGGTACTGTGCTGGGGCTTCTTTCAATGGAGAGAAAGGTGATATGTATTGAGAAAAATGTGGCATCTTACCTTGGAATTTAAAGTCATATGTATTGCATCCCAACAATTACTATTTATCGTGCTATCCCCTTTCTTTTAAGAAAAAATGTGACTTTTCTATAATTTGTCTTTTGTATTCTTTTTTATGAATGTTCATTTTCGTTTTGATTAACTAAAAAAAAAAAAAAAACCTGTTGGAACCTGGAACCGACCTTGGAACCTGTGACAGGGTAGGTTCCAGGTTCCACGTTTCGACGGGTAGGTTCCAGGTTCCTCATTTTGAGGAACATGTACCCGAGGGTAGGTTCCAGGCGGAACCTACCCGGAACCTGGAACCGCTCACCCCTATAGTTGCCCGTCACCATTTACATCTATCCTGCTGCCATGTCCTACAACCACTATCCACCAAAAAAAGCCAGATGGGTTATATCACGTTTACGGCGTTAAAGATGTGACTTGCAATATCCTATGGTGCTGCTTTTGATACCTGTTGCGATACCCAGACGCTGCTCGTTATCGAGGGTTCCCTGTTCCCTAGGTAGCTTGCACAATATAAATATGCACAGCGGGAAGAAAAAATATTTGGTGGTTACTGCTCACCACGTCACCGGCCCACATGGCATATATGAGCTTAGTTGGCTCCACTTAGAAAGTGACACATATCCTCTGACATGGACATGGATAGAAAACAAAAAATTAAAATCCGAAGCTTTCTCCTTCTTTTCTTTAGCCAGCCAGTAGACTGCAGAGTAGGTGAAAAAGGACAGAATAATAAATGTTAACCCGCTTAAATCTCCCTCTCTTCTTTTCAATTTTCAAGAGCTTCTACCTTCTATACCTTCTCTCTCCTTTTATGTTTCTAAAACTCTCTTCCTTCTTTTCTTTTCTTTTCAAGAGCTTCTTCACCATCTCTCTGCTCTTTTGCGTTTTCATTTTACTTTTGAAAGATGCAGAGGTGCTCTTTCACGTTTCTGATCACTCAGTACTTCGAGTGCTCCAAACAAGCTGGCTTGGTCCGCTCTCACTACTCTTCTTCTTCTTCCGGTGAGTGTGGTCGTCCGCAGCCACATGTCATTTCTGGTTTGTCTGAAGAGAGACATCAACATTGTCATCGTCATCCTAGTGCTGCTCCTCTTGGTGTTCCTCCTCGAAAAGTTGGGTTGCCTTCGGTTTTGTTGTAATATTCAAGCATAGGTCATGTTACGAAGAGATCGGTAACCTTGCCTGTGTTGATTTTCTTTTTGCTAATGTAAAAATTGTTATAACGGGATCTGTATCTCCAGCAGGTAAGAGTGAGGGAAAAGCGACTTGCGCATGTCAAGGAGCCAAGAAAGCAATCTAGAACGTGCGATGGTGACGTCGCAGAACCGTCAAAGTAATAGCGCTACGAGTAACTGGCTTGCAACAACATCAACAAGATTGTCAATAAGAAACAGAAAGATCGACTCATTTTTTTTCTCTGTTCTCACACTCTATCTTCCACTCTCTCTCTTCTTGGCTTCTTGTACTGGGTTGTGTGGTATGGAAATGAGTTTCCATCATTTGACTCCTGTTATCTGTCTCTTTGTCACCAAGTTCTGTGTTTTTTTATTCTTTTGGGTCTAAAGTTTCTTTTATGTTGTGTTCGGTGCAACAACTAAGGAGAATAATCACAAAAGGAGTGGACAGATTTTGGCGTTTGGGAACTATTATTACACAAATGAGCTTTCGATCACTCAGTTCTTCGAGTGTTTTCATTTTGCATGGTAAACGACATTTACTTACTTGATTATCAATCGCACTTGACATACTAAAAAGGATTGATATGAGGAGGCACTTTACTTGGTGACTATGGTTAGACTATCAATTTGATCATGCGAGTTTACCCTTAATTATTGGCTATAAAAAATAGAAGACTTTATGTTCTTTAATGTACTACTTCTTTCGTTTCTTTACCTGGGGGATTGATTTTGCAAAAGAATGATCGCAGAAGCATTAACAATGGTAGATGTGTAATGATCTCAAGAACAAAAGGAGCCTAATTTCGTCGCAAATGTAATAGATACCACAAGTTTTGTTTTTCCCGGGAAAGCACTGGATCGGTTGTTTTTACAACATCGGAATTCTTCTAGCTGTAGTGAATCTATTCCCATGACATGATAGCTTATGATCGCTGGTCGCTAGTTTACTTTTCGCTCAATGGCCTTCACGAAAGGTCATTAGCAGCTTGGAATGCGTTGGCATTTTTGGGATGCATCAAACATGAGAATTGACATCTTTGATATCGTGATGTTCGACATCTTACTCAGTGTCGCGTGCATTGTGTCAACATCCAAAACTGCTATGAGAAATTATTGTTTTCTTTGGATGCAATAGTTTCGTGACTGGATGTATGAATGGACAGTGCGGTGCAAATAAGGGCTTGTAACCAAAGTGAAGCTCATGAGTTGCTGAATAAGTTGGAAAAGAAGTGTTGGAAGCGAGTGTCGGGAGAATCGACTAACCTGTTCGATGCACTATGAACAAAATTTCTAGGATCGTACGTTGAATCACCAGCAAACGATGAACGAATTTACTTCACGTTGGTTCGAATACAATCACAGGGAAAGTATTCTTGTTCCACAGCGTTAATGCCGATTGTCTTCTCAAAGTAAATACGGAATCCTTATACGTCGAGAGAGAGAGAGAGTTCTAATTATCTCTTGTATATTGTTTTCATCTTCTGAGGAAGTTATCTTAACTTCCCTTAAGAAATTTTCCTCGCACCTCTTCAAAAGGTGTCTCTCAGACACACTTCTTATTAGAGCAAATGGTGTCCCTTGGACACACACATCATGGGCGGACCGACGAAATATAACATCTCCCACTCTCTTATGATGGGCTTGATGATGCTCTATTAAGAACATAAGGCATTCAACATTCATCTACCTTAGAAACAATTCATACTGGCAAGAAAGCCATACGACCAGTGAGTACACATGCACTTGGGAGCTCTAATTATGCACCTGTTAGGGACAACATAATGGCTACAACCCCAAAAATAAATAAACAATTGATGTCTCACAGTGCCCCAGACATATTTTGTTACATCAGTCCAAGTATACCTATCCCTTAAAGGCTATACTTGACTTTTCTCAAGAGCACCATGTATTTACAATTATTTTCGAAAGTCATTGAAGGCGAAATAATTGGTTGACTAGTAAACATATGTGATAGATGTAAAACAACAATAGTCTTCCTTCGAACTCATGTCTCTCTCCATTTCGGAACAACTGCTTTCCTAGACACATTCCATAAAGCCATATCTATTCATGACCGCCGGTAACATGCTAACGTAGCAACATTGATCGTCTATTTTGAGAACATAGTCAGAAGTAATATAGGGCACAAAGTAAGGTAAATTATAAATTACCTTAAGGACTCACACGATGAATAAATATGGATTATTGTACTCATCTCCCTTATTGATCAAATAAAGCACATGTAGTATGAATTACATGCTATAATGGATTTCTCTTTCTATAAGAGCGTATGTCATTTATTAATCATATCCACTATATGAATCTTAGCCTAAACATAGTCACATGCTTCTCACGTACTCATGTTTAGCCCGAGTGCTATATCAGCTCGCTTTCCACAGCGCCCAATTTAGTACTCGCATCCGGCTACCTTCAGGCATACATGATTGTGGGACTATCATGTTCGGTCTTATCACATACGAATAACAGACCTCATCTTGATTCAAATCAAGGCGACATTAAATCGTTTTATGTACTAAACTGCTCTTCCAGCATTTATAGTACATATCGTCTTATCTCAACCCGCTTACTATAGCGTTTGAGGTGATTGCTCGTGTGAGTGAGCCAATCATTGCCTGGCGACATACCTTTCAACAATATATGTGTATTTGTGCCAGTCTCATAACATTGTACTAATTGATAAAACATCAATTCATTAACAAACAAGTACAATACATGTACACACATAATCCAGTGATCCTCAACAATATTACATATCATAATCACATTCTACGTAATCCTAGAGATATCATGTGGGTCAAGAGCACGTCTCTTGGAACAGCCTTCGTAAATGGATCAGCAACCATCCTGTTGGTTGAAATATATTGCAGGACTACTTCCTTCTGCGCTATTATATCTCTGATGAAGTTATTCTTTATGTCAATGTGCTTCGTCCTACCATGGTACTTGAGATCTTTCACATAGGCAATGGTTGCTTGACTATCGCAATATATTGTCACTGGTCTTGGGACATCAGTGACAATGGCTAAATTTTCCAAGAAACGTTTTAGCCATACTGCTTCTTGCACTGCAGCAGAACATGCAATAAATTCTACCTCCATCGTAGATAAAGCTATGCATGTCTGTTTCTTGCTATTCCAAGAAATTGCACCATCATTAAGCAAGAACGCATATCCAGACGTCGATTTACGCTCATCTAGGTCTCCTCCCCAATCAGCATCAGAGTATCCTAATAAGCGTAGATCACTCCCTTGATAGCAAAGTCGATAGTCCATAGTGCCTTTCAAGTATCCCAGAATCCTCTTAACTGCTTTCTAGTGTGCTTGATCAGGATTTGATTGATATCGGCTCACTAACCCCACGACATGACATATGTCGGGTCGAGTACACATCATAGCATACATCAAACTTCCGACAGCACTAGCATAAGGAACAATTACCATTTCTTTCTTTTCTTCTGAAGTCTTAGGACACATCTTAGTACTCAGGCTTTCCCCTTGCATGACAGGGGTATCAATGGGATTACAGTGCTGCATATTGAAGCGTTCAAGAATCTTCATTATATAAGACTCTTGTGACATAGCAAGGAGTTTCTTTGATCGATCTCTTTCAATCTTAATTCCCAATATATATGCAGCTTCTCCCATGTCCTTCATTTCAAAATTAGAGGACAACCATTCTTTTATGGTTATAACCAAACCCTTATCATTCCTAGCCAACGGAATATCGTCCACATAAAGAGATAAAATCATAAATTTATTCTCGGACCGTTTGATATACACACAGTGATCATCTTCGATCATCGTGAACCCAAAAGAAGTTATGGCTCGATGAAAACGAAAATACCACTGTCTAGACGATTGCTTAAGGCCATAAATTGAGCGATGAAGTTTGTAAACTTTACGCTCTTGACCTTCAACAATGAAACCTATTGGTTGCTTCATATAGATTTCTTCATCTAGTTTTCCATTGAGAAATGTTGTTTTTACATCCATTTGATGTGATTCTAGGTCCAAATGTGTAACAATGACTAGGATAAGGCATATGGAGACAAAACTTACAACTGGTGAAAAAGTTTCCTCGTAGTCTATACCCTCTTGTTGAGTATAGCCTTTCACCACAAGGTGAGCCTTATATTTTTCAATGGATCCATCCGCCCTTCACTTAATCTTGAAATCCCATTTGTTTCCAATAGCCTTGCGATCAGGTGGTAGATCAACCAAGTCCCAGACGTGGTTTGTCCTTATAGACTCAATTTCGCCTTCCAAAGCTTTTCTCCATTCTTCCTTGTCAAGAGATAAGAGAGCCTCTTGAATTGTTTTAGGCTCCGCATCGTCTTATGGAGCAATCATAAATGCTTCCCCTTCAATCTCAAATCGACGACGGGGAATACTTTTACGATTACTTTTACGCAACTGAACTTCTTGAGAATTCAGTTCGCCAGGCGACGCTACACTCCCACTAGGTCTTGTATGTTGAGGTAAATATGTATTGCCCTCAATAACATTGGTGGGTGTGTTATCGGGATCTAGGATCTTCCATCTCATGTAATTGGAAGTCCTTATCAATCTCACCTTTACTAGGAAAATCGTTCTCCAAGAATGTGACATCTCGTGACTCCATTTCGGTCACACTTCCATAAGCTTGTTCACCTATGAACACATATCCTTTGGAGTGTTCAGAGTATCTAATAAAGATACACTTCTTCCCTCTAGGGCCTAATTTGCCATATTTATGGGAAGAATCATGAACATATGCTGCACACCCCCAAGGTTGTAGATTACTTAAGTCTGGTTTTCTATCAATCTACAATTCATAAGGGGTGGAAGCAACTGACTTAGAGGGCACACGATTAAGGCTGCGTTTGGTTCAGCATTGGGAAGGGGCTTTCAGCCCCGAAAGCCCCTTCCCAAAAATGCTGAACCAAACGGTTAGCATTGAGCATTGAAAATGCTCAAAACTAGCATTTTCAATGCTGAAAGCCCAATGCTGATCGGGACTAGCTTTGGACTTTCAGCCTTGAACCAAATGCCAAAATCATTTTTATACTTCCCAAACTACCCTCACTCAAATTTCAATATTCCGGCTTTGCCCTCTCGTTACTGTTCATCTTCTTCACCAAAGGGACTCCGGCGAGGGCAAAGGGCCGGCGACGGCGAAGGTCCGGCGAGGTCGCCCGACCCGAGCTGACGGCCGCCTCGGGTCGGCGATCGCCCGGCGCGGCCGCTCGGGGTCGGGCGACCGCCAGTGCGGCCGCACTGGGTCCCGCGACCTCGAGCGGCCGTCGCCTGGGGTCGCGACCCGGGCGGCCGTCGGCTGGGGTCGCGACCCAGCGGCCGTCGGCTACTGGGGTCGCGCGACCCGGGCGGCCGTCGGCCTGGGGTCGCGCGACCCAGGGGCGGCGGCGACCCGGGCGGCCGTTGCCTAAGATCACGCGACCTCGGGCG